AGACCATGAGCAGGCACACGAACAGAACTAGCTAGAAAAATTGATGATCTCTGTGACTAGTCACAATCATTCATGTGCCCACATGCAGTTGTGTGCCCCCACACCTCCATCCCTCAGACTACACCCAGCAGCCAGGCATAGAAATTTTTAAAAAGTATGTGATTGGTGTGTGTGTGTGTGTGTGTGTGAGTGTGTGTGTGCTGCACACACATGAATATATGTGTGTATACATGCATATGTGTGTGCCAAGCAGCAAGGGGAGGGGAGGTCCAGGTAAGAAAGTGATTGCAATTGTGCATAGCTGGGTTTGGACTGAATTGGCAAAGAGATGACAACATACATGGCTGATTGCACCTCCTTCACTCAATGTGGGGTTTCCAACAGGCCAAAGCTCTGTGACCATGGGTCTCCCCTTTAGGGATGCTCTGCCAATGGTGTCTGAGTCTGCAGTGCTGACCAGGAATGCCAAGCCTGGGCATTGTTCTCCATGTGCCTTTCATCCACTGTTGGGAGCACTTGTCCTCAGCACCACCTCTGCCGGGTGCTAGCTTCGCAGACATGGCAGGTGTGGAATGCCAGATGAGCCCAGGTCACAGATCTTCAGTTGGGTGCCACTGGTCTGCTGTGCAAAGCGGGGAGAGAGGACCATGGCAGTCTCTGATACACAGTCATAGTGTCACATGTCATTTACAAGGTGAACGGGGAAGGGCTCAAGATTTAGAGTCAGATCTACCTAAAAAGATGCCATACTTACTAGTCATGACGGGGGAGAATGTACCTGACATTCCTTGGCACTCACCTCCTATCTTTAATTAGGAATAATAAATAGTACCTGCTTTAAGGGTTGTTGTGAAGATTAACAATCATCCTGAATAATGGACAGTTCCATCCTCTCTGACCTTTTTCCTTTTTAGGCCATTATTAAGACCCAGAAGCCACTGTGATCACTCCCAGTGATTTGATGGATGAGTGGGAGGGAGCAGGTCAATGAGGTGGGGCTCTTAAACCTCCAACCTGCAGTCACACTGCTTGAGGCCCTCTGAGGAAGAAATCTCATTTAAAAGACTGAACTCTGGCTTCAAGGCTGACGCAGAATTCTCTGAGTTCAAATTCACATTATACAATATACTTGGATATTATTTTTCCTATTCAGTTGAATGGGGGAGGTAATTCTGCCCTCGCCTTCACAGATGTTTTGTTTTTGAATATGCCTTACAACGAAGGAATATATAAGCGCCAAATAACAAATCAGGCTGGCATGCAGCCCAAACTTAGACCCTCGGTCACACAGGGTTAATATTTCCACTCGATGAATTCCTAAAACTTGGCTTTAAGGAGGCTGGTATTTTCCATAGTCTCTTTCATCAGGTGGTTTCCCCCCCCTTTTCCACAAGGGATAACAGTACACATGTTAAACAGATGTAATGTAGAGATGTTTAAACAAAAGCAGGGAAGCTCTGAGGGACTGGAGTCAGGCTGCCTGCAGGTACACCTGTGTGATGGATGCTGGGTGTGGGTTGGTCTTGTTAGAAAGGTCAGTGTCCCCACAAAGGAGCACCTACCTCCTCCCTCAGGAAAAAAAACTATTGGCATTTGCTCCTATGCTGCTCAGCTACTCTGTTTCCCCGAAAATAAGACAGTGTCTTATATTAATTTTTTCTCCCACAGTTGCGCTAGGTCTTATTTTCAGGGTATGTCTTATCTTTCCATGCGCTAGGCTTATTTTTGGAGGATGTCTTATTTGGGGGGAAACATGGTAGCTAAAAAGTGGGGACTCAGGGTCATGGGGGTTCCAAGAACCAGGGTCCTCCATAGCTGGTGCCCAGGTGACACTTACCCTGGGATGCAGATGCGATAGATCAGATGACAGATGCAGAAAGGGCAGGGCAGAGATTTTGGAAGTGGCAGCAGAATGAATGCACATAAGAACTGGAGGAAGGACTTCAGAATTGAAAGCCTAGATGCCTGAATGGATAGTGATGTCACAGATTGAAAGGAACCACAGAAGATTTGGGAAGTGGGAGAGAGTGAGAAGACAATGACTTTGGCTTTGGGACCTGCTGAGTTTGAAGTTCTCAGGTGGCCAAGAGGTAATTGGAAATAGGAACCTTTGGCTCTTGGAAAGATCGGCTTTTGTGCTGAGCTGGAGAAGGAGCTCTGCCTGCAGCTGTGCTGTTAGAGGTCTGTCTGCAAATGGGTATTTGGAGAGTTTTTCCTAAGGAGCGAGCGTTCTGTGAGGTGCCTGCTGTGGCCCACCAGGAAAATGCGAGGCCAATGGCAGAAGCATTGCTGGGTCTTTATCTCCCCATCCTGGTTCTCTCTGTTGTCAACATGGGTCAGCATGGAGCGATTTGGAACTATCTGCGTATTCTCAGGGACAAACCCTTCAACTGGCAACCTCCAAAGCTGGGTTCCTCCAACTCACAAATAACTTGGCTCATCACAGACACCTGAGAAAGAGGCCTGATGTGCAAGCAGCCCAGCATTTCCTCTTCTTGGTGAATGTTTTTGCAAAGCCCCAGGAAGGAGAGAGTCTAATGCATGGCATGTGTGCTCAGCCTCCTTCCATTGCTTTATAACGTTACTTCTCCTCTTATCTGAGAAAATGTAGACACCATTCAAGAGGACATGACATTGATGGGACATCTGTAACCCTTTCCATAATAAAGATTAAACAAAATTTTAAATGAACAAATGATCTGAAGAGACATTTCTCCAAAGAAGATCTATAAACGGCCAATAAACATAAAACGATGCTCAACATCATTAGTCAATGAAAGCCTCAATAAAACAACATTTCATACCCTCCAGGATGGGTATCATCAAAAGTTCAGATAACAACAAGTGCTGCCAAGGATGTGGAGAAATTGGAACCATCATCCATTGCTAGTGCAGCCACTTGGGAAAACAGCTGGAAGGTTATCAAATGCTAAACACTGAGCTATCCTGTGACCCAGAAATTCTATTCCTAGGTATACACCAAAGAGAACTGAAAACATGTTCACACAATAACGTGTGCATGAATGTTCAGAGGAGCGTTGTTCACAATAATAAAAAAGTAGAAACAAGACATCAATTGATGAATGGAGGAATACAATGTGTCATATTCATTCAATGGAATATGATTCAGCAATAGAAAGGAATAAAGTCCTGATTCATGCGACAATGTGGATGAACTTCAAAACATTATGCTGAAAGAAAGAAGACACAAGACTCCACATTGTCTGATCACATTTATATGAAATGTTCAGAATAGCCCTAATGTATAGAGATAGGAAGTTGATTTGTGATAGCCTAGGGCTGGAGAGGTGGAGGATATGGGAGTGGCTACAAATGGGTTTCAGGGAGAGGGTGTGAGATGAAAATGTTCTAAAATTGAATGTAGTGATGGTTGTACAGCTCTGTGAATGAACTAAAAACCATTTAATTATACATTTTAAACTGGTGAATTGTGCAGTATGTGAATTATATCTCAGTAAAATTGCTATTTTAAAAAAGTGGGGGGGAAATAAATCTGCACCAGAAAAAGAGAACATGACATTGAAATCATACCCATCAGTAATGAAAATGGCTGAGAATAGCTCTGATATGTTTGCAGCTGTTAAATCAAAAAATCATTCAATGCAAATTTAAGTTTACCCTACCAGCTGTGATAAAGATACACACTCCTGCCTTTTAACTTTGATTTTAGGCCCTTCAGTGTCTCCTGTGGTGTCAGGATGACTACGTCCAAAACTGCACTCCTGGGGTGCTCTTTAAGAACTGAATTGTTGCCCTGATTAGTGTCATTCAGTGGCTGGAGCATCAGCTTGTGCACCAAAGGGTCACAGACTTCATTCCTGGTCAAGGGCAGGAACCTGGGTTGCATATTTGATCCCCAACCCTCTTGGGGTACATGCCAAAGGCAACCAATCTTTCTTTCCTTTTCCTCCCTTTTTTTCTCCCTCCCTCCTTTCCACCCTCATCCCCTCCCTTTCTCTGTCTCTTAAGCCTTCCCTTCCCCACTCTCTAAAAATCTATGGGAAAAATCTTTGGGTGAGAATTTACCAAAAAAAAAAAAAAAAAAAAGAACTAAATTCTGAATCACATGTCCTGCTCTTAGAGTTCTGTTCACATATTTTAAGAGCTTGGCCCATGGAATGAGTGGAAGGGCTATTGTCCACTGGAAGACTGAGCCATTCACCCTAAATGTCTCTACCACTGTGTTTCAATGAAGGTTTTTGACAGAAACCTTATAAGAAGGTCCTGGCTCCACCACCTGGGCTCCGATTCTGACTTGCTTACTGTTCTGTACTTTGCCCCCAAACCCATGACATAACCCCTCTGGCTTCACGCAACCTTTTGCAAACCAATGTCATAAATCTGGTGGATTTCCTGAAATTGTTGCAAATATTTACTACAAGAAGCAAATCTAGTTCCCTGTAGTTACAAATAAAACTTAAAATAGATTAGTGAACAGAAAATGACCATTGTTTCTGATATATTAGGCCATGTACTCCACCACTGGGAAATGCACTGATCTGTGGCTTACTGCTGGGGTTCAATTACTCCTGTTTGGGATAAATTGGTAAGTTTCAAAAGATCAAGTGGCACTTGTGATAGACAGAAATAATATACAAGCTTTAGTTATGTAGCTTCAAATAGCCACCAAAACAGAACCCAAGAGTTTGTGTTATTATAAGAGACTCAGTTTAGTTTGAGGTTTATGTCTCCCCCAAAAGGCAAAAAAAGGCTTGTTTCTTTATTTCACACAAGCAGCCTATGCGAGAGCACAAATACGTGTATCATGCACACACACTGACATGCCTCACACACTCATGCCCTATGTTTACATCTATTGGAAATGTAACTATACCATGACCTCTATTCTTGGTAATGAACCAAGACAAACTTTTCCTGGTAATGAACCAGACAAATTTGATTTTCCTTTCTCTTGATCTCTCTACAATTTCAGACTTTTCTAAAAAAGAAATAAAAAGAGAGACACCAGGTATACATACCTGACACAGAAGTATAAAACCACTGGTCCTGACTTTTTAGGAAAGTCGTGTTCTAAGACTCTTCGATCTAGCTGGAGCCAGTTTAAGTGTCCCCTGAGAAAAATAGAAATAAATTGATTAGGGCTTTGGATTTTATAGAAGTTACTTGTAACAAAGGCATATGTACAGCAGAATATGCTGGATCACAGTTATCAATACATATGGACTTTGCCTTACTATGAAGTTTTCAATATTTGAAGAACCCAGAGGAGTGACCTAGGGAACACGCATGCGAGGGAGATACTGTGTAACACGACACTCAGGAGGTCAGGCATTGGAGCCCTAGCTGGTCTGGCTCAGTGGATAGAGCATCGGCCTGTGTACTGATGGGTCCCAGATTCAATTCTGGTCAGGGCACATGCCTGCATTGCAGTCTCGATCCTCAGTACAGGGCGTGCAGGAGGCAACATACCAATGATTCTCTCTCATCATTGATGTGTCTACCTCTCTTTCCCTCTCCCTTCCTCTTTGAAATCAATTAATTTTTAAAAAAAAGAAATTTGGGGTTGGAGATCTGCTGTTAATTTCTTAGGCCGCACTAGAATTAAAGCGTAATGTGCTCCCTCTTGACCTGAATTCCGTTTCTCCTTGCTGTGGGCTGCTTTTTCCCCAAAGGACTCAAAACACACTTTAAAAACATGTCAGCAACCTTCACAACATCTTGCTGGAAGCAGATGGATTGAAAAGCCAGTAACAGATTATTTCAATAAAAAAATTAAACTGACATCTACCTTATGAGGTAGCCATTCTTCTCCTAGGTGTTTACCCAAGAGAAATGAAAGCATTTGGCCATGCAATGACTTTTACACACAGATGTTCAGAGACACATTATCTTTTTTTTTTTTAATAATTTTTTTTATTGTTCATATTATTACAAATGTCCCCCCCCCCCATTGCTCTCCTCCACCAGGTTCCCATCCCATCCTCTGCCCTTTCCCCACCCCCCATTGTCCTCATCCATAGGTGCACAGTTTATGTTCAGTCTCTTACCACATCCCCCTCTCCCCTTTTCCCCAAGAATCATCAGTTCACTCCCCTTCCATACCTCTTATTCTATTATATTCACCAGTTAATATTGTTCATCAGATTTTTTTTTTATTTCCTTGGTTTTTAGATTCACTTGTTGATAGTTACGTATTTGTTGTACATAATTTTTATCTTTATTTACTTTCTCTTCCGAAAGAACCCCCTTCAGCAATTCATATAATTCTGGTTTGGTGGTGATGAACTCCTTTAGCTTTTTTTTTTTTTATTAGTGAAGCTCTTTATCTGGCCTTCGATTCTGAGTGATAGCTTTGCTGGGTAGATTATCTTTGGCTGTAGGTTCTTACTATTCATCACCTTGAATATTTCTTGCCACATTATCTTTTATAGCTCAAAACTTGATTGAACAACCCAAATGTTTATCAACAAGAGGAATGTATAAACAAATTATGACATAATTATGTAATGGAATACTATGCAGCAATAAAGACTACTGATATACACAGCAACATATACAAATCTCAAAATAATTATGCTAAGTAAAAGAAACCCACTAAAAAAGTACATATTCTGTAATTCCACTTAGAAGCTCTAGAAAGTGCCAATTAATCTACAATGACAGAAAGTATCGGTGGTTGACTGGGGGGAAGTGAGAGGGAGGGGTTGGGGGGGGGCATAAAGAAAAATTTGGGAAAGTGATGGATTATGTTCATTATCTTGATAGAGAGGGGGGTTATTGGTGCATACATGTGTCAAAACTTACCAAATTGTATACTTTAATATGTGCCATTTATTACATGTCAATTATACCTCATTACAGCTATTTTAAACAGTGAACCACAGATATTTGATATACAAATGAAGTGACTTGTACATTTCTTTCTTCCTCTACTCCCTCCATCTCTTCCTTTCATAAATGTCAACTGACCATCGACTCTGACAAAGATTCTGGAATGGAAGCAAGGAGCAAAATAAACACGATCTCTTTTCCCCTCAAGCTTATATGCTTGTACGGAGGCACTCCACTACCATTTCCACAATTAATTACATACTAACTAATAGTTTTAGGACTATGAGTTATGATAACATGTAAGGAACTGATTGAGTTTGGGGGTCTGAGAAGCACTCCTGATGTTTGAGTGAAATTTGAAGAAAGAAAAGAGTTAACTCAGCAAAGAGGAAGGGAGCCATTTTCCAAGCAAAGAAATGCAATGGCCCTGCGCTGTCCTGTGAGTAGGAAGCGAAAAGGCTGGAGAGAGGCAGGCAGAGCCCAGCACCTGGGGCCTTTGAAGAGTGAAGCAGAACCGTGTTACAAGTATGAACAGAAATGTCTACCCATTTTTTTCTCCTCTCCTCACCCAACCTCAATCCAACATCCTGAAGCCCTATAATCATGGTTAGTTAGTAAACTCATGTTGAACAGACACAACTGATTGTACAAAATTCCTTCAAGTGTCCAGTGCTATGTGACTCCGAGGTTTAGAGTGCACAGACCCATATGGAAGGCTGGCACTTATTCTGTGTAGGATGAGAACCAAAAGCTGTCTGCATTGCCCTAGTACAATGTTTGCTCCATCAAACACACGCTGGCCTCCAAAAAATAAAATAAATGTTAGGAGCTTCCATCTCTATTTTAAGAACTTATTTAAACTGTATCTTTTATGAACACACAAAATAAATCTCACTTTAGCCCATACCTGTGGCCTAAGGATGATGTTTGGGTTTGCTTTTCCCCCCTCCTTTTGAGAATCTCCACCTGGAAATATTTTTTTTTCTATAAACTTTTTTTTTCTTTCATTTTTGGTTACTCTTCTCTGAATATAGTAAGGATGAAAAATAATAGGAAAAACATTTTTTAAGCTCTGGCTGGTGTGGCACACTGATTAAACTGTCAGGTTGCAGGTACAATTCCCAGTCCAGGGCACATACTTGGGCTGCAGGTACAATCCTTGGCTCTGGTCAGGCCAGATGCAGGAGGCAACCAATTGATGTGTTTCTATCACATCAATGTTTCTCTGTCTCTCTCTCCCTCTCATATCTTTCTCTCTCTTTTTATCCTATCCTCCTTCCTTTCCACTGTCTCTAAAAAGCAATAGAGCCGAAACCAGTTTGGCTCAGTGGATAGAGCATCAGCCTGTGGACTGAAGGGTCCCAGGTTCGATTCTAGTCAAGGACATGTACCTTGGTTGCGGGCACATCCCCAGTAGGGGGCGTGCAGGAGGCAGCTGGTCGATGTTTCTCTCTCATCGATGTTTCTAACTCTCTATCCCTCTCCCTTCCTCTCTGTACAAAATCAATAAAATATATTTTTTTTAAAATAAAATATATTTTATTGATTTTTTTACAAAGCAATAGAAAAATATATCTGCTGGTGAAGATTAACAAAAAAAAGTTTTTAAATTAAAATGACTGAACTAACTTCTTCCAGAAAGTGGGATAAATTCCCAGCCAACTAGAATATAGACCGAAAAAGCAGGAATGCCAAATTTGTTTCAGGTAATACTGAAAATGGTGACTGCTGTGCCTTAGCTCATGTTGTTAATTGTATACTTTAATATATGCCATTTATTGCATGTCAGTTATACCTCATTGCCCCTCTGCCTAGAATGCCCTTCCTCTCCTTCATCATCTAGAGAAGTCCGACCTATCCTCCTAGAACTCTCTTTTCTGTGCCTCCTCCAGAAAGTCTTCCCTGAGGCACCCCCCCCACACACACACACCCCTGGGGCAGGACTCTCACAGCACCCATCCTAGGCACACCTCTGCTGAGGCATTTCCCGCAGTCCACAGAACTTACTTTGTGTATACTTTCCCCCCAATAACCTTTTTTACATCTGAAAAATAAAGCAAAATGTACTTCATAAAGTAAAAGTGTGTTTTTGATTAACTAACAGGGGTGGGGAACCTTTTTTATGCCAACGACTATTTGGCTATTTATAACATCATTCTCGGGACACACAAAATTATCAACATAAAAATTAGCCTGCTATATCTGGTCAAACATTTAATGAACTCACTGCTAATGCCTTGGCGGGGCCAGACCAAATGATTTCGCAGGCCTTATACAGCCCGAGGGCCGGACATTCCCCACCCCTGAAGTAGGTGTTAAGACAAACGTGAGTCCTAATTATTGGGGAATAAGAAGCTCCAGGCACTCCTTTCCTGCCTCTGAAAATGTCCCAAACCTCCCAGGCTCTTCTCCGTGTGCCCAGTATCCTGCACACACGCCACAAGCACGCTCTGCACGAAGACTTTGATGACACTGTTGCTCATAATTGGAACAGTCTCTCTATCCTCTTATCTGAACGCTAGCCATTGTTTGAGGCCGAACTCAGTATAGACTTTTTGTGAAGTCTGCCTTGATTGCCTAAGTCTGGGATTTCTTTCAAACTTCTCCAGAGCTCCTGGTTTGTGTTGTCTGAAAGGCATTTTTAGCACAGTCGTGTACCATTAGTTATTTTAAAAAATATGATCTCTCTCTGAAGATGTAAGTTTTCAACATTTAAAAAAAAAAAAACCATCCCAGAACCTAGCACAAGACCTGGCAAAGAGTAGCTGCTCAAAAGCCTTTGCTCTTTGATTGGATGAATACCTCCAAAAGCGATGGATCTGTGCCCAGACCTTAATTTATAAAGGGGATTGAGTGACCATATGCAGAGGTCAATGCCCTGGAAAGTAAAACCGAATCTTTCTCATAGTTCCCCTAGAAATGAGAGGCACACCACGCCAGGCAAGACCACAAGGGGAAGCGTCAGGGCTGGTCCTGAGGCAGGAGAGGAGTGAGGAGATACAGGCAGAGCCTTTACTGGGGTTTCCATGGATGGCAAGACAAGGAGAAACCACTGAGTTGGCTAGTTTGAGTAACCCTGGCAGACTTAGGAATCTAGGGCTGTCCCTGGCTCTCTGGTCCTTGGCAGGGGAACTATTGCTTATGTGTGAGAACTAGATAGAAAGAGTGGCCCCGAATTAGGGCTCTGGACAGCAGGAGAGATGTGAGCAGATTCCACTGTGAGTTTGGCTTTGTAATTAATGGGTGCTAAATAAAAACAGAGTCTAAGAAAACTCATAAA